GATCTTGGGGCATGTATGAATTTACAGGGTTATGTCCTCTTGTCTTGCAAAAGACATCTCAGGTAAAGATGGTACATTGGAAACTCTGTGATTTGCCAGGAAGAACTTTTTAGGAGTGGACAATTTATCCTTAGAGAACGTTAGTAAAGTGCTAACAAATATACAGTATGCAAATAAATATGCTTGTGTGGCCAAATGAGAGCTAGAAACCAAAGGACCACTAAGGTTAACAGCATGTGGGTGACTAATGGAATGAAAAGGGACTTTATTGCACTGATAAAAATAAATTGAGGTAGGATATTTTGAACATGAAGACTTTAATTTCACAAGAAGTGCCTATAAGATGAAACAGCCTATTTATCAGGAGAGTAGAAAGGTAAAGAGGAGGGACATATATATAGCAAGGAAAACAAAAGGTTAGACTGAGGAAGCAGATAAAAGGAACAGTAGGAAGAGAAATGTAGTAGCTGTCATCTTCTCTGCAAAAAAAAAGTGCTGATTTTTAAAAAGGTCTAGACAAACAGCAAAGTGTGATAGGGCTATAAAATGGCTAGTGCATTATGTGTAATGGTCCTTAGTATAAGATCCTAGTGTAATGACTAGGGTAAGCAAGTGCTGGGGAAATTAGAGAAAAAGAATGTATTCATATGAGCCAAACCCTGATAACTTTACATGGGTAAAACTCTTTTTTTGAATTCAAAATGAGTAAAGACTACAGCATTTGTCCCATTTAGAGCACATGAAAAAGCAGCATGCTATCCTGCCAGGATACAGTCTTGCCTTCATCAGAAATTGACAGATAAGGAGGCATTAGTATGATTTGTACAATGAGTAGACATTAATATACATTTTATGTAGAAATTCCTGGATTTGTGAAAATGAGCTGTATGCATCGAATACCAAAAATATTTTAGACCACATCTTCAGCAGATGTAAATCATTATAGCTCTATAGTTTTCAAAGGAGCTATGGTGAGTTACACCAGTTGAAAATCTGCCCCTTTAGGTACCAATACACATGCAAAGAGGCTGCTCTGATGCACTGTAATTACAATACGTTGGAGCAGACTTGATTAATCATGTCTGCTGGACCATGGTAATTACTGGACTCCTGAAGACTCCAATATCACATGAATCAGTGTCCCTGCACTGAAAAATGGTGACTGGGACCCTTTAACCAAAGCTCATTCAATGAACTTTAGTTAAAGTGCCCCTGCCACCATTTTTCAGTGTGGGGACACTGATACAGGTGACACTCAAGGCATTTTAATTACAGTGGCTCTCAGAGCTACTCTAATTAAAACACCCTCCCCACCATGCCTCTCCCAGAACATGCCTATACATGCCCTTTGTGCTTAAAGGGATCTTAGCAGAAAATTACTTGTAACCCTGGGTGCGACACTTCATGCACCCTCACCTGAATAATGGGAACCTGGGGTACCCGGTAGCCAGTAGTCCTGCCCAGCCCCCCTGGGAAGCTGCTGCACTGCCCCCTGAGTGGAGAGCCTCCCCTTACAATCAAGCACCCTGGCAGATAATTCTCAAACTATTTACAAGATTTAATTATTTACAACATAACAAATAATCATTAAATAAACACATGGATATACTGACTAATAAACCCTCAAGAACTTATTTACACAGTCTCTCACCTGCACATGGTGCACTGGGGATCCAGTGTGCACTGCCCCTGGTGGGGTATCTCAGGGAGTGGGACTGTCTGTGGCCCTGCACGTGGTCTGTGGATGCTCCCTGGTGCTGGTGTCCGCCTCCGTGCTCCTGGAGTCTCCAGGCAGCAAGGGTCTCTGGGCAGCAAGGGGCAACTCCTCTTCTGCAGACCCTGCAAGACAGCCTCTCCCTGCCTTTGACCCCCTTCCCCAGCTCTGCTGTGAACAGTGTCTGGGCTGCAGGCTCTAGCAACCCTCCTGCCCCACACAGCCTCACAGCCCAGGCAAATGCAGCCCCTCCCTGGGCTTTGCCTGCCCCTGGGGCCCCTCACCCCTCAGGGAAACTAGGGCA